TCATCAAAAAGTCTTGGAGACATGCCTACTTCCGGTTCGTGGATGAAATGATGGATAGAATTTACGTTAGCTATGCGGTGAATGTGCCACCCTTGCTGAAGAAATTGAGGGGAAAACGGAACTAGGATCCCTTGTGAAGAGGTAGCATCTTTCACTTATCGTGGATTGTTTCTAGTTTAAATATATTTGTAGCAAAAGTGTTGAGATTTCTATTTGGATTTTTTCCCCATCATGTAAACTTTCATTAGCTTAAATATTTTAATTCACGTAGTTTAATTTTCGACTATCATTTAAGACAGAAGCATGCATTCAAATATTTTTCAGCATCAAGTGTCTAATATGATATTTGAGTATTTGATTTAATAATAAATAAATGTATCTCATGTTCAAAACATATCAATAAAAAAATAATATCTAATATGTATATATTAAAATTTTCAACTAGCAAATTGAACCTGAGTAAACTCCTTTATCAATAAATTAAACGTAATTTTAATTTTAAATTCAATGAAGAAAAAAATGGTATTTTTTTAATAAGTATGAATTTTTTTTATTTTTTATTTAAAATATCTATAATAAACCCATAACTTTTCTAGCTTTTTTTTTTAAGAATAAACTATATCTAGAAAAAGAAATTACCATATCAGGTAGTTGAATTGAATAGAAGTTAATTATACAAATAGAAATTTGATAAAAGCTTGTAAGATAAGTGCTTGGGGAAGTACACAAACTGTTTGTCGAATCCAATATTATATAAAACCAAATGTTTGCTTATACAAACTCAAGATGGCATCTATCATTCAATAATTCAATGATTTATTGATTGATATCAGATCTAATTGTTTAATTTGATTTAATTAAGAGTAAATTAACATATATTGCCAAGATCCCTTTAGAGCTATTTATTGGACAGTTGACTTTCACTTCTTTTTCTTTCAATTTATTTCTTCATTCCCTAATTTTTCTTTTTTAATATTTTTTGCATACTTTCTTTATTTCCTTTTACATATACTTATCACTTAGCCAAACTCAATAATCCTCCCACTAGCTTGCACATTTGCTACATCCTGTCATAGGTTGTGCCATTAGATTTTTGACCAAAATGAAAATAGTAAGATTAATTAACATTTGTATAAGGCTTCCTTAGGTGAAATTCATAAAATTCTTAATTGAAAACTTGCAAACCCTTTGTCATCTTTGGACCCGAATTCTCATTTACTAAGAAACATTAAGGAATTGATTTATCAAAATTGAGAGTATTCAATAACTCACCTTTATCGTAAAGCTAATTAATGTACCAACTGGATGACTACACACCACGAAGACTTGTCTATAAGTTTTAATATTTTTTGTCTTCCCTTGTCGGGAATTTTAAGTTATATTTTCGCAAATAACCCTTGTATCAAAAAAAAATTAACTAATCAGTAAAATTTAGTTAATACTTAAAATATCAATCATATTTAAAGATTGGTAGAATTAATTCAAGTAGAAAATGAAAAATATGTAAAATTCAAAATTTAAACATTGCTGAATTAAATATAGGAGGTAATCACTATTTTTTTTTTTGCTTAAATTATTTCGGTTTTTGTAATTGAACTCCTACATTTTTATCATATCCAAAAAAAAATCTTTTTTCTTTGATTTGTATTTATAAAAAACATTATTTTTTTATTTTACCTCAAAAAACTCTTATTTCATAATGTAAATATAACGAAAGTTAATGACACTGTCGATTATGACTACTTGTATACATACATTGAGGACGTACTAAAGTATTTGTTGACATGAATTTGAAAGAGCTCTTGATTTGAATCCATTTTTTGAATTAAAAAACTACATGCATTTATCAATTTTTTTTTTTTGAAAGCAACAAGACTTTTATTTCAAGAAAAGGCTTAATATATTTTATTAATCTGACAAAATTATTAGTAATTGTTACATTATGAATCCATTCATTGATCCAAAGATGATGCATTAAGAAAAGCTTATAAGTACAATAATTCATCTTTTGATACAAATTTGTCTTCTAACAAGGGACTAGGTACATCCTTATTAATGGAGACATTAATTCACCCAACAAACTCCGTAACAATAGTCAAGCCGCCCCCTAGTACATGATCCCAGTCATCTACGGCCAACAATTGTGAAAATGAAATTTGCCAAATGCCAACATCAAGGACTCGTTCTAATGTTAAAGAGAAAACAAGAAAAAGTGAAATTCTTAAACTCAAGTTGCGAAGAATTTATTATTAGATAAAATATTTTATTTTTTAATTTTTAATTATAATTTCATGTAAATTATTAATATTTGAAATAAATAATAGAACTCAAAAATATAAATATTGTTAATAAAAAATATGAAAAGATTAAGATTTTTTTTATCTTTTTTTTTTCTCCTAAACAATGTGGCTGGTCAAGGGAGGGGAGCACCCTTGAGAGCACCAGATGGATGCTCCCCTCTCTTAGGGAGAGAATTTTTTTTTGTGAGAGAGAAAAAATTTTAAAAAACCAAAAAATTATAATTTATATAAAATAATTTTAAAATTAAAAAAAATAATTTTTTTAATATTATCATATCATTAAATTAACAAAAATTTTAATAATACACTAACAACTGATCTTATATGTCTAATGAAAAATATTTTTTTAAAATAGATTATTTATTTTAAAAATTAATAAATTAGTGTAAAATTATAATTATAAATTATAAATGAAAATATTTTATTTGTTATTATTAAAAATAATTAAATAAAAATAAAAAATATAATAATTAAATAATTTAAAAAATTTCAATCATTTATCAAATACACTATAAATTAACAAAAGAAATGCCGGATAATGATTACATTTCCTTGCCATTGACTCCAGGGTAATTGCGGAGTTGTGGCTGAAGAAACACGGCAGAGCAGATGTGTCGTTGTACAGTGAAGTCATGGTAACTGGTGAATTCACATGTTTGTCATTGGGAATCTTTTTGCCAAGTGAAAGTGATGCTGATGTCCTAGTCGCGTAACACACCAACGCCGACGACTTTTTCGTAACCGAATACGTAAGAATAATGATCCTAAAGCTGGAGCCCACTGAAACCACGAATTCAGGCTCATTTCTAAACCAAAGTCTTGCCATCACCCACGATCATCACATCTTTATCTAATCTTCTTCACCTCCTTGTGTTCTAACGATTTACCACTTTCATAATAGAAAACCAATTTGTAAATCTCGACGCTTTTAGTAGAATGAGCAATCTCATTATCGTCATCAAACTTTAACTTCCGTTGAATCGAGAATAAATTTCCTTTGAATAATCCAATAATTTATATTCAATATGATATAAGTCTTTTAAGGTTCAATCAGTTAACATTATTATTGTCAATTTTTATGATTTCAAAATTTCATCAAGATTATCATTAATATTAAAAGAGATTATTATTGTCCAACATTTGATAACATAAATCAAATTATTATAAAAAATTAACATTAATGAAAAGCATCATAATTTTATTTAGATATATCTATTTTTTCTATTTAGATTTGTAGAAAACTAATTTGTTATAAGTGCTATAAATAATCACGACCATATAAATATTCAAATACAATAAGAGGTCCATTGACAAGATATCTTATGAATGTCATATTAGTAACTCATTGACTTTCTCTTATAAACTTCAATTTCAGAAAAATTAATTATAATTTTATCCTTAAAAGAGTTTTAAGAGTGTTATAACTATATTCTCGTCTACAACCATTAACCAACAATAACAAACACCACATCTTTTAGTATAAACACTAATAACTCAATGTTACAAATTTTTGCTTTAAATTGTGGATCATATAATTTTCAATTCTTATTGATCTATCTGGTTGAAAACATAATATATAATAACTAAATTAAGTAATAACTTCTTTTTTGAGTTAAGAAAGTTGTTTATAATAAAATGTCGATGCATACAGACCACACCGAATTAAATAAATTTACGAGACATTTTATTGGTCATAAACCAAAAAAAAAGATAAGAGTGTTGAGAGATTTTCGTAATCCGCTTCAACATCTCTCATGTTTTCCTAGCTTTATGTTTGATACCTCTTACTTCTCTCTGAGTTGCTCAATTCAAAAGAAAGTATTAAAATATGTAAAAATTAAGCTTTTATATTTTTGAAATCACAGTTCAATTTAAATTTGAAATAAATTTCAAATGTTGTAATATAATTAAAAAATAATAAAATTTAATTCAAATTAGGAAGGTACTTAATTAATTCTATTATCCAAAGTGGAACCAAAAAGAAGAAAATATTTTGCACCAAATTGAAAGAAGATATAAGGGAAAATTATCTTTTCGACTGTAACTATCATTGTTTTCTCCCTTTAAAAATATCTTTTTTTTTTATTCTATGGTAATTTTAAATTTTTTTATGTATTCGGGTATTTTATCAATTGATTAGTGTATGAGAACAAGATTTGAATTTATTTTCCTCAATTAAAAAAACATTTAATTCTTAGATTTTCCAATGGCTGAAACGAAAAAGAAATTGCCAAATCGAGACCAGCTGTTTTTTTTCTATCAATTTTCCTTGGTCTCAATCCAAGTTTCCAACGTTTAATTTGGTTCAGTTTTGCTTGTTTGAAGGGTTTTGTCTTCTCCCAGACTTAAGAACCAAAGACCTTGAAGTTCCAACCCTTGATGGGGATCAAATTTAGTTCATTTGCAATTTTGCGCACTGAGATACTGACAATGACGTCCATTTCGCTTTAATGGTTTTTTCTTTTGTTTGCTCCCTTGATTTTGTTAATGAGAAATCTTTTCCGAAAAATTACTCGAATTATATTGACCGGAATGCAAAATAATTTAAGTAAAGCAGAGCTGTAGCAGGGGACCCCATTGCCGCTAACAACAAAAATGAAAAATTAGTAGCCATCAAATCAACAGTGAAAAGGCCAGCGTCAACGAAGCAACAGCCATTCAAAGCCGCCATTAAAACGCGTCATCCAGTTACAGCCTCCCCTCACAGTTCATAAAATAAGAAAATATTTCCATTATCAAAACGAAGGAAACAACCTCTCAACCATGTCTCTCCTTTTTCTAATCTCCTTCTTATTCAGTCTCCTCCTCTCAAACCCTTCACCGTCCTTATCCCAAGAAAACGACTCTTTTTCGTCCTCGGACTTCCCCTGGCTCCCAACTCAAAACAGGATTCTTCTCTCTCGCAACAGAGACTTCGCCGCTGGTTTTATGCAAATACCCTCTTCTGCAAATCACTATACTTTCTCTATTTGGTATTACAACATATCTGGAAATAGAACCACTGTCTGGTCAGCTAAGACTAACTCTACAATCGATCGTACTTCCTCTCTTGTCATCAGCAATACCAGTGAGCTACGTTTAATCAACTCTGCAGGCGGAACCTTGTGGCCAGAGCCTGCGGCTATTGGCAATCCGAACTCTACTCTAGTCTTGAAAGATGAAGGTAATCTTGTTTATGGGACTTGGCAGAGTTTTGATTATCCAACAGATACGATTTTGCCTAATCAGACAATGAAGGCAAAAAATGGGACGGCGATGCAATCAAAGAATGAGAAATTCATCTTCCAGAATAGCAAAAGCCTGGTTTTTAACTCTTCTGAATACTGGAACACTGATAACGCGTTTCAAAAACTGGATGAGAATGGAAGGGTGCGTCAAGATAATGGAGCTAGTTTGGTTTCTTCAGATTTCGGTGAACCCAACCGGTTACGGAGACTGACACTGGATAATGATGGAAATCTCAGAATTTACAGCTTTGGTTCGAAAGCCGGTGAGTGGGAAGTTGTCTGGCAAGCTGTACAAGAAATGTGCACGGTTCATGGAACTTGCGGGCCTAATGCTATTTGCATGAATGATGCATCAAATTCTGATCCCACTTCTTGCGTTTGCCCACCTGGATTCAGAAAAAGAACCAATGACAATAACTCATGTGAGATCAAAATTCCGCTCAGGAATCCTGGAAACACCAAGTTTCTTCAGCTGGATTATGTTAACTTCTCTGGAGGCTCAGATCAGAGTAATCTGAATGCTAAGAATTTCTCAATGTGTCAATCCCGATGCCTGGCCAATCCAAATTGTCTGGGGTTTGGTTTTAAATATGATGGAAGAGGATACTGTGTGCTCCAGATTGATCGATTGCTATACGGATACTGGTCTCCAGGGACAGAGTCTGCATTTTTCTTGCGTGTTGACAAATCAGAAACCGATCGATCCAATTTCACAGGTATGACAAGTTTGTTAGAAACAACATGTCCTGTTAAAATAAGCCTTCCTTTGCCACCTGACGAATCCAACACCACGACTCGGAATATACTGATAATCTGTACTCTTTTTGCTGCTGAGCTTATCTCTGGGGTTCTTTTCTTTTGGGCATTCCTGAAGAAATACATCAAGTATAGAGACATGGCTCGAACCTTTGGCCTCGAGTTCTTGCCTGCAGGCGGGCCAAAACGCTTCTCCTATGCAGAGCTCAAGGCAGCAACGAATGACTTTTCCAATCTGATTGGAAAAGGAGGCTTCGGTGATGTTTATAAAGGGGAATTAACCGATCACCGTGTTGTTGCTGTGAAGTGCTTGAAAAATGTGACCGGTGGGGATGCAGAGTTTTGGGCAGAGGTGACAATTATTGCCCGGATGCACCATCTCAACTTGGTCAGATTGTGGGGATTTTGTGCAGAGAAAGGTCAAAGAATTCTGGTCTACGAGTATGTTCCTAATGGTTCTCTTGATAAGTACCTCTTCCCGGCGAGTCGGGTCCCCTCTCTGGACAAGGAAGTGGAGATGGATCCAATTAGGACTGACGTGCCAAATCCTATTCTTGATTGGAACATCCGATATAGAATTGCCCTTGGCGTGGCAAGAGCAATCGCGTATTTGCACGAAGAATGCTTAGAGTGGGTGTTACATTGCGACATCAAGCCAGAAAATATACTTTTGGGGGATGATTTTTGCCCCAAGATATCTGATTTTGGATTAGCAAAGTTGAGGAAAAAGGAAGATATGGTTAGTATGTCACGGATCCGAGGGACCCGCGGGTACATGGCACCGGAGTGGGTCAAGATGGATCCCATAACCCCCAAGGCTGACGTCTATAGCTTTGGGATGGTGTTGTTAGAACTTGTGAGTGGCGTTAGGAACTTTGAGATGCAAGGGTCATTGATGGATAGTGAAGATTGGTACTTCCCAAGGTGGGCATTTGGCAAGGTGTTCAAGGAAATGAAGGTGGAGGACATCTTGGACCGTCAAATCAAGCATTGTTATGATAGTCGTCTGCATTTTGACCTGGTGGATCGCATGGTCAAGACGGCAATCTGGTGCCTTCATGACAGGCCAGAGGCAAGGCCATCCATGGGGAAGGTTGCTAAGATGTTGGAAGGCACCGTGGAAATTACAGAACCCAAAGAACCCACAATCTTCTACTTGGTCGATCAGTAAATACTAATTACTTTTTTTTGGAAAGCAATTTATTAAGCCACAATAACCAGCAATGCTATTGCAAGTCTATTACTTTATAGCATAGACTTCCTATGGCATAAAGCATCTGGTATGGGCAAAACAGAGTAAATACTAATTACTTGATCCAGTTTATGAGTAAATTTCAAGCTTGGTGGCCTTGGGCTTTTAGCACAGTGGTTACCGGTCAATCATCTTGCTTCTGTCATCGCCGGGAATGATAAGCTTCAAATCCCTCCAGTCATCCTTACCCCTCACTCTTGTACCATTAGAACAAATGTAGTAGCATGTAATTTGGTCGCGAGGAATGTAATAATATTAGACTTTGGAGTATATAAGACCGATAAATTCAGATATTTGTCAATATTATTTCATTAACCCCAAATTTTATTTTAATGTGACAATATCAACTTGCCATAATCTACTATTAATTTAAATCAAAATTTCCACATCAGAACCGTGTGAGTTGATTTTATTAGGATTGGTATTGACTTCATAAATTATTAGTTTGTTTTCTTTTTAAGGTAATACACGCTTATCATATAAATTTAAGGTAATCGTGAATCATTAGTTCATTACCCATCGTAACCTTTTAAAGCTTATACTTTACTTATATTATGAGAGAAAAAAAATTGTCCTATATTTATTAAAATTTAATTCGGTACAGTTTAAAAATTGAAAAAAAAAATCGAAATAGAAATGTGAGACGGAGAGGGATAATTACGTGTAAGCGGCTGAGTAGTAGAACGACGTCACTCGCGCCAATAGCACGTGAGATGAAACATCATCAGTCAAATTAAACGGGAAAGGAGAAATGAAAAGTTAAATTCCCACTAACGGCCCACTCACTCCAATGAACCCGAAACAAATCAAAAGAATGAACAATAATTAATTTTGAAATTTTTGTTATAAAATTATTGTTTTTTTTTCTGGATTTCTCTCAAATGTTCGGGTAGCGATGGCGTCGAGATCGTCAGGTACGAAGCTGTCTTTTGAGATTTTAAGCAAAAGCAGCTCTTTAGCCGAAGAAGAAGAAGATCGACCTTTATTTTACCGATCGAAGTCAGATCCAATCCAATCCCAAAACGTCGTCTCTCGACCGTCCCGTCGGAAGAAGAGAAAACACAAGAAGAAGAAGGAGCCTAGGACAGAGTTCCCGATAATTCCGGAAGATTCGGTATCGGAGCAGCAGGGCAGCAGCAGCGGAGTCGTGGTGGAGTCGAATTCCGAGAATTACGGGATCAGAGATAACGGAAATGTTAACAAGATCAGTTATGTTGGTGGCGGGAGCGTCGTGGTGGTGGAGGAGAGTGTGTGCCAGAATGTGTGTGGTTTTGGGGAATTGAGGCAGAGGAATGTCAATGGAGTTGCCGGTGGCGGAGGAGAGGAGATGGCAACGGTGGCGACGAGGGCGGACGAGAGTGGTGTGGAGGTGAGTAGTTCGAAGGAGCCGTTGCCCCCGGCGCCGCCTCAGCCTGTGGCAAATGGGAATGTGCCGAATAAGTTGGAGACAGCTGAGTCGTTGGATTGGAAGCGGCTCATGGCCGAGGATCCTAATTGTGAGTTTTTACGCAATTTCATTCTTTAATGAATTGCCCTCGTTGCGAATTTGATGGAAATCTATTATGGTGCATGGAATATGCTAGAAGAAAGTAAGGAACAAGTATAAATAAATGGTTCAAATATGGTTTTAATCATTACTCCTAATTAATTCAAGAGTGGCAAGAAACAATTTAGGAAAACTATTATCAAAATGGAATTGCAATATGAACAATGATGGTTGAAGGTAGAGTGTCACTCATATGTTAGTATTCTAGACATTAAAATGATCATAGTTGATGATCGAGACTGAGATAAAGAGATCTGTAAGTTAGTATTCTAGATATTAAGTGTGAATGTATATATCTCTGGAGGTAGTGGTTCGATAATGTAAAAAGTTTTTAGAACACAGGGTCTGATGTCGTTCAAGCCTGTCCATAGCCCCTTGTCGAGTTCAATGGAGAAATTCATTTAGCTGACCCTAAGTAGTTTGAGAATGAGGCTTAGTCTGTTGACTTATGTTATAAAAAGATGGTGGGAAAATTGTCTCTCATAGTTCTGCATGACATGATAGGGAATATAACTCATGCATGTGTCATATGGTAGAGATTCCTGCATGCTGTAAGGTTGATTTTATGTTTATTGACTAATGCAGAAAGGAGAAGCCAGTTTTAAAGGACCTTTCCTTTTCTTTGATTGGAACCGCCTCTTTAACGTTTTTTTTCTTTTCTTCATTGTATCTTTGTTCAAGGGGAATCTGAAAGTACTGACAGAAGCATGTACAAGTTGTTCAATTGGTTGACAAACATATTTATATGTTGTAAGCTTTTATTCTATAATAATTGCTGCTGATGTTGGATGCAGGAAGTTATGATTGTTGACATGCAGTCTGACTTCCTAGTGGAATTTTGTATAGAATAATGTTATCTGATTTATTAAGATATATAAGGATTCTGACCTCAAGTGTGGTTCCTTGGGGGAAAAAATTAGGAAGCTCAGCACTGTATCTGCATTCTCTGGTTTATTTCAGTTATGTTTCTTGGAAACATTAGTTTAAAATCTACTCTTGTTTGGTTCTCGGCTGGTCAGATCCTTTTACAATGGAGAAATCACCAGTGAAATACTTTTTGGAAGAAATGTATAATGGAAATTCATTGCGGAGCACCACGACATTTGGTAGTGAGCAAGAACGAGAGAGAGTGTATGACACCATCTTCCGCTTGCCCTGGAGATGTGAAGTGGTAATCTTAGTTCTCTCTTTTTGAATTTTGATAGGGATAAAACAAAGAGAAAAAACAAAGAAAAGATGGATTTTCCTGATAATTATACCTTTACCTCATCACTTTATTAATAATAAGTTTCCTTGCACTTATTATTCATTGTTTCTTGTATTTGCATTTTTACCCTTTTGGTAACTTATTTAGATTTTATTTTTGCGCATTTAAGATGAAATGGCTACTAAATTTTTTAAAATGCTGGAATAATGGTGTATTTCTGGTGGATTGCTTAATCAAATCAAGATTTATGTTCTGGTAACATTATATCTTTTTGAACCTTTCTCAAGCACAAAAACGTTGTTTCAGCTTATAGATGTTGGCTTCTTCATCTGCTTCGATTCTTTTTTGTCCTTGTTAACTATCATGCCAACAAGGATTCTGATTGTGCTCTGGAGGCTCCTGACTACAAGGTTTGCTATCATTCTCTGATATGTATGTGAGTACGTACTATTAATACATATGATTTGTTGGGAATATATGCATGCTAATATACCACTCAAATATATGCAAATATATGAGCATTATTTGGTTGATTGATTAATCTTACAACATTTCATTATTCATCTAAAAATTATTTGGATTCCCCGTACTTGTAAGAAAATTGTGTCTACAGTTATGCTTTTTTTTTTATTTGCAGCGCGTCCCTTGTAGTGGTAAAATGATTCTGTAAAATTCTGAGTTATGCTTTCATTTCAAAGCCTAAAAAAGGCTTGAAGATGACAATTCATTACCATTGTCTTCTTTTTATTAATTGGGGTGCAAATCTGATCCTTGCTTATATTTTAGTACTTCCTCCTTCTCCTCTTGCTTATGCTTCCATAGGCGGGAACCATTTTGTTTGAACAATCACTGTTTCTCAGAAGATATGGGCATGGATTCTGGCTTGGAATTTGAGTAGCAGAAAGTCTAGAACGGGGATAGTCCCTAAAATTTGAAACCTGAATTTAGGGTGTCTTCTTGGTTTCCCTATATTTTTTTGTTTCATTTTAATGAAAAGCAGAAAACAAATTTGAAAATATGCTTGGTAATTTAAAATAAGAACAATGTTCTAGAAAATGGAATTTTAAATGGCATAAAAATGAAAACAATTTGCAAACATTTTTTCACTATTTTTTTTTCCAAATAAAGTCAAGAACAAAAGAAATAGGCTTTGTTCTTGTAACAAAATGTATTTCCTAAAAACTAGAAAGTTGAGAATGAAACTATTCTTAAAGTATGTATAAAAAATGTTGTTTTTCTATGCCTCTTTCAGTTGGTCAAACATTTAATTCTTTCTGTCCATATTTAAAATTGTGCTCTATATTGTTCTTTTTTCACACATAGCACAGCTATTGTAATTTGTAATGATTGCAAAATAACCTAACCATCTTTGTGACAGGCAGTTCAAGAGGCCTTCTGCTGCCGAGCTGTGTGATTTTGGCTGCTTTGCTGTTCTGGCCTGTGGAGTTATTCTCCTGGAGCAAACAGGTATAGCAGGACATATAACTGCATCCATGTTTGTAAAAAACAAGCATTAACAAATATCCAAGTGTTATTGCTGCTTGTTAAGCTTTGAGGCATAATTATTGCTCTTCCAGTTAATTGACCAAGAGTTTAACAGGTAACACTGATTTAATTGGTGGTTTTCCTTTCTAATTTAAGTTTTTGTCTTCCCAGATATCAGCCTGATATATCACATGATTCGTGGTCAAGGAACAATCAAACTCTACGTGGTTTACAATGTGTTGGAGGTGAGAATAAACAGCTGAACCTGAGAAATTTCACATACTTAATCCGAATTACTTGAGAGAATTATTAATATGCATCTGAGGGAACAGAATAGAGGCTTAACATTTACCATGAACAAGGTGTGGACTGTCTGAAATTTTGTTGCTTCATGGACTTAGGGCCAGAGTTCGATGGACACATTGGTTAAAAATTCTGGTGTAGCTTTCTTTTTTCTTTTTTTCAGTTTTAGATTAAAAGTCTAAAAGAAAAAAGAAAGAAAGAAAGAAAGAAAGAGAGAGAGAAGAAAAATTAAGGAAAGAAGTGGAAACACATTGGGAATCTTTAAGGTGTTACAAAAGCTTTTGCGAGTTTCAATCAGAAGAATTTTGATAGTCTCACCATCCAAAGAATGCAAAAAGTTGTAAAGGGATTTTGTCAAGCAGCCTTTCTTAGTTGCTTGTTCAATTTTCTGATCTTCTCAATCTAGTAATGATAGAACCTGACAGACTCAATCAAGTACTATTAGAGTTGATTACAATGTGGCATTGTAGTGGTGTCCATCATTGGAGATCACATTGGTCGTTCTAACCTTAGGAGACATCAACTTAGTAGGGTGAAAGGGGTAACAGCTAAGGTGGTCAACGAGACATGCTCATGATACTTGGAAAAGCTTGGAAAGGAGTACAGAGCTGCAGGTTTCTACTTGTTGAGAAGCAGATATTCCTTAAAATATTGAAAAATGAGAACATTTAGTTCCCAGCCTTTTAATCATTGAACTCCATAATTGCAATTTGTCAAAAACAATTGCTAATTGTGGCTGATGGCCTGTCACTAAAATAGCATATTCCTCCATACTATTTATCAAAATTTTTTGAAGTTGGAGTTGTGACCATTTTTTCCAAGGGAGAAGTACAAAATTTTTATGTGAAAAATATCTCAAAGGAAAGGGATTAAGGTCACGGATTTGATGTTTGCTTAGTATGCTACTTGCACTTAAATAAATTCTTTGCTTTTGGAATATACTTTTAGTTTTGTCACCAATTAAAATATTAATAGTGTATGTTATTATTAAAGAGTCTAAAGCTATAATTATCTAAATTTTAAAATTGCATAGCTAGGGCTTCTTAAGTAAGATTAGATAGTCTTTAAGAGATTTTTTTGGATTGATAACTGTTAGTGACATTTATGGTTTCATTTATTTTGTACCTCTGTGGTAGGATCTGTTATACTGTAAGGGACTAGCGTGTGTGTTCCTCTAGCATCAATGTTGTTTCTAATGCCATTAGTATCTTTTTGCTACTATTAGGCTGAATTGTGTATAACACTGTTTTTTTTTTTTTGTCCACATCCAGATATTTGATAAATTATGCCAAAGCTTTGGTGGAGATGTGTTAGAAACCCTATTTTATTCTGCAGAAGGACTTGCAAATTGCTCTCCGGAAAAAATGAGATTCTGGATTCGTAGATTTGTTTCGGACCAAGCATTGGCTATGGCTTTTTCAAATATCCTTATACTCTAGTGATGATCTCTCTCTCTCTTTCTCTCCTCTTCTTAGATATTCTTGTTCCGTTTTTTTCCTTGACTATCATTACTTCTTCATTCTTTTATTTTATTAGCTCAGGCAATTACTTTATCAACTTGCATCGTCGCTCATAATAATGCATTATTTGCTTTGTTGGTATCCAATAACTTTGCTGAGATAAAAAGTAATGTCTTCAAACGTTTTAGCAAGGATAACATCCACAGTCTGGTATACTCAGGTTAGTTGCTTTGTTGCATGTTCCTTTTTATGGTGTTTGTGACTGTCTGATGATATTTTGGATTCTTACGGAATTTAAAGTTCAAAAGGAGTGATCATTGTAACATTTTTCAGATGATGCTTTTTATGAGATTCAAGGGAAATGTTGAAGATATTTTCCTGTAAACTTCATTTTGAAAGTTATGAGACCTGAGTCCTAGCTATGGCCATGTCACTTTATTAGCAATGGTTGATGTTTTGTGTACCCATTAGTATCATAGAGCATCATTTGGCTTGCTTGCTTTAAGCAAGTTTTTTTCTTCACATTTATTTTCTATAGAGTATATGCATTCTTCTTTCGCTGCTTAGTTACACTTTCTTCCTCCACACTCTATTCTCTCCCTTTGCCAATACCTCTCATTCTCTTTCCATCCTTGCCGTCTTATTTATAGTACTGACTTCTCTTGCTTTTCTGATATTATTTTGATGCCTCCTTGTGGCATACATTGTTTGTTGGTGCAAACTGCCTGATTCCCAGTCCTGTGGGGTGAGTGCGTCATTAGAAGGTTTTTTATATCTACTTACTCAGGGGGGGGGGAGGGGTAAGGACCCTCTCCTATTTTAATAGTTAGTCTGCAAACCTGTCTGTACATGATGCTTTAGGAATTTTTACTTATTGGCCATTGTGATTGAGTTTGCATTGAAATTGAGTGTGCATTTCAATGCACCCTTGTTTAGAAAATATTCAGCTGCCAAACTAATTGAAATATTAGCTAAAAAGAGAAAAAGAAGAAGTTATAATACATGTATCAGTTAGTGTGTGAGAACCAATTTAAGCATATTCTACACATGAACCATGGAAAAACATTATTAAAATAATATTATACCTGCATTTTATGTATATGTTTTCTTTTTGGTGTATTGCTCATTGTCTCGGTTTTTTTATTTAAATATAAATCTTGAATCATTTTGCCTCTCAGATTCAGTAGAGAGATTCCACATTTCAGCATTTCTCTTATTCGTTTTAGCTCAAAATATTTTAGAAGCAGAGGGTCCTTGGTTCGAAAGTTTTCTTTATGTAAGTACACTGTAAAAAATTATAGTACTCTTTGTTTTAAGATATTTTCTTATCAGAACTACTGTACAGGACTTTGTTTGGCTTGCTCATAAGTCTTATGAACTCTGCAGAATGCGCTAGTGGTTTTTGTTTGTGAAATGTTAATTGATATCATAAAACATTCGTTCCTTGCCAAATTCAATGGCATAAAGCCCATTGCATACTCTGAATTTCTTGAAGATCTCTGCAAGCAGGTATATGCTTCTCCTGTTGACAAATTGCTTATCATTCCCCTCTAGAAAATTTTTTTTTGACAACAAACATTTTTCTTGTATATCATTTATTCTGCCATATTTCCCTAGTATAGTTTTTGCATTCTATAAATTAGCTTTTTTAACTTGCTCTTGTATTAATCACGTTTAAAATAATACACTGTCAACATTTTCAGACTTTGAATATACAAACTCAAGATGGCAAGAAAAATCTCACTTTTGTTCCACTTGCACCAGCTTGTGTGGTGAGTACTTGTTAATACTTTGTCCCATTGTTTTCTTGCTCCTCTCCCCTCTCCCGCTTCGCGCTCCTTTTATCGATGTTTACATGGTTTTTTCATATCTGGCCTTTTTGCAGTTTTTTTTTTCTACCTTTTAATATTGAATAAAAAGTTTCTCTCTCCGTAGTATGTAATAAATTCTGAAAGTAGAGCTCGATTTTTCAAACTAAATTTGCCAATGTCATGGAGAAAACAGCTGACTTTAATTTCACCACCTCCTCATTTCAATCAAAAGTTGAAGTGATAAGATTTCTGCGTTTGTTGGAAGCATTAATGCTAGCCAGTAGGATGCCAGGGTAAAGCACGAAATTTACTAATGATACATCAATAGGGTTCAAAAGATTTGTTCAATTTCTGGTTAATTAGTTTGTGTTGAATTTCTAGCTTGGTTTAAAAAAGTAGTAAAAATGTAATTTATATTTTTCTGGGCAAGAATTTCAAATTACTTAATTTAATATTTTTTTTTCTGTGTTTAGGTCATCCGAGTGCTGACTCCAGTGTATGCTGCTCACCTTCCATACAGCCCCCTGCCATGGAGATTCTTTTGGACCCTTCTCTTGATCTCCATGACCTACGTCATGCTCACAAGCCTAAAAGTGATGATTGGCATGGGCCTACAAAAACACGCAAGTTGGTATGTCAATAGGTGTCGTAAAAGAAAACACCATCTTCACTTCGATTGATTTAAAACGGTGAAGGTGGATACCGTCAGAAAGTTCTGCTGCTTCCTTGTGATTCTTATTATCCATTTTGACCTGGTGGGGAAAGTATCAATGAGAAATGTAGGAAAACCGCTCAGATTTGTTCGCGAGAGACAGGTAGCAGTAGTCAACATGAAATATGGAAAATTGAATCCCAAAGAGTATACATGTAAATGGGTCTTCCCTCCAATTTTGTCGAGAATCGATCACTTGCTGGCTTCAGAGACTGTTCGTACAACAAAGGTTTCGGTATTGCTATTTCTCCCTAATCTTCTGGTGCATCTCTTGCGATTACATTTTTTTTTCCAGGGGAGAAGGGGGGTTTACATTCATATCTAATATAAGAGTATTGTTCAAAAACAACTCCGGAGTGTAAAATAGAAATAAAACGATTTTATCTTCTCTTTTATGATTGTGACTTATGGTATCGACCCCTACTCTTCTGACTGTAAGAGTCATATGTGACCACCAAAGTTGCTAGACTTTTCTCTAGAGAAATCTCTGCTATTTCGGGTCCACGTGCATGGCCCAAGGCTTTGACACAGTTGGAATCGTGCTTTCTATTGTTGACGAAGCTCAACTAGGGCTACTTACTGAACCGTTGTGGAGGCATGTGTTCGGAAACCTTTGAGACTTTTAGTGGCCCCAGAATCACAAAATAATAATTATTGTAGAGACCATATCTTACGTTGATTTGACAACGGGGAGGTCACGGAAATAACGCAGGGTCTCGGGTCCCTTGTGCATGCATTCGGTGGATTAGGACGAGGGGCCCTATATAACCTTGTCATTTTGTTGATGCCAAGGATGAAAACGAGTATGGAGTACTGAGGGGCGCCAGGGGCTTTCAGCATCCGGCCTCCGATGTTTAAGTAAGATGAAAGAAAAGGGAGACGATGAGAGCACCTAGCTTTCCGAACCTGAGGATGTTTTTTTCTCATCTGTTTTTCTGGCTTCTAATGTGTATTTGTGCTATTGACATCTCGGAAATGGTTATGCGGCTCTCCCTAATCCCAAGAGTTTACTAACAATAGAGACACGATGCCCAAAATGCAACACATGGCTACAGAGCATTTGTCAAAACTGATCAAGAGTGGCTGAGACCAGCAACTTTTGGCATTTTATCCGCTGATGCGACTAGACATGAAATTATCGTCATCTGCTTCAAGGGAAAGAAAGGAGACCCAAGATTAGACCACATAATTGATTAATATCCTATAAGGAATGGTTAATAGTAGCCTAAAAGATTACTAGAGAAAAGATGAGTAGGATTAAAGGTATGATTAGTTAGCAAATCTGGTGGGTGTCATGTCAAACGGCAGCCCTAGGTAGCGAAACACATTCTTTTCGAGTCATGATCTAAATAGTAAGTCAAAAAATCAACTAAATAACTGTAATCAACTACATAACAATTAATCTCACTACATATATGACAAAATTACCAACTCCCTAGCCTCCTCAACGATAGGGGGGGTTTGAAATGTTACACCTCTTTTTTTCAAGTTGATTGAATTTCACTTGAATAAAAACAAAAGTGCTTCTTTTAAAGAAATCAACACTTTACGTTCTCTATCCAAAATAGAAAAAGAGGACCAACCTTTTCAATTTTCACACAATTTCTCATTATGTTTTTGTTAGTGGATTGAATTCCCTATATCTACAGTACTATTTCTTATATTGCTGGTCAAACCTAATGGATTTAACCAGTAAAACACAATAACAAATATTTCTTTAATAAAATTCTAATATGGAAAAAGCATGTTTTTTTAGTTCAAGTTGACATTTTTTTTCCTCTTTACCCCTATTTTTGTTTTAAATGCGTATTATCACTTGCAAAAAATTTTGACTTTTTCATTTAACAAAAAAGGGGATCCCATTTAATTTTTTTATAATATTTTAGAGATATTGAAGAAATGACTCCAATTAATTTTATCTAAAAAGGTCAAAATGAATAAACTTTATGAAAAAAAGGAGAAGACATCAAAGTGATAAACTAAACAGATATACTCCAATAATAAAACAAAAATTATCAAACAAGGGTTGTAATCTTTACTTATCACTTTATATTTACAGTAACGTAAATAGTAAAAATATTATGTTTATTAATATATTATATCAATATTATAAATAAAAATTTATTTAAATATTTTGATTAGATATTATATTTTATTATTATAATTAATTCGTTGAATATTAAAAAATTAAATTAAAGTGATAATGGTAAACAAAAATTAGGGATAATCCGGGAAAATGTGGAAAAGAAATTTGCGAAAATTGAAAAATGGGTAGAGTTGTGGGTAAGGCAGGTAAGATACCATACCTAGATATGCTTTTGACCCCTCCTATGTTGATCCTGTTCAGACTTGACAAATTTCGGAGCAAATATAGGAAATTCCTTTCTATGGACAGCTTTTCCTTTTATTATACCTTTACAAATAAAGACAGCTCCCCTTTCTTATTTCTCATAATATGCCCCACCAAAAGTCAAATTTGTCCACGATCTCAACCTCCCTGTCAACCATAATTGGAAGGGTAATATCGTCATTTCAATTTACCCTGATTTAGGGTTTTTTTGTTTCCTCTTTACTTCCGTTATGAATTTTTTTTGACCTGTCCTGACATTTTATGTATTTTTTTTATTTATTTATATTTAAATTTACCACCTGAAAAGGAGCTGACCCAGTGGAGAAAATTGAGGCCTGAGAAAAAGTCATTCTTTAAAATAATTTAATGATTTGCTCAAAATTTGGAAAACATAATTAATTGAGAAATTATTGCATCTTAATTGATTCTAAAAATAATCATAGTAACTAAAAATGATTTCTCATTTTTTGTTTTGTTTTGTTTTCTTTTTTAACGTGTTCAAACCGTTCCTTATCCGAGTATTGATAAACTTATTTTCGATCCATCTAATTTTGGCTTAAACTTGGTTTTGTACATATTAAGGAAAAAATTACAAAATTATTCAATTCTGATTTTCCACAAGTCTAGTAAAATTAATTAAGAGTAAGCAAAAATTACAGTACCCTAAAATTTACTTTTAACTGAGGGTCATGAATCATGATGATGATCATGATGAAGATAAGTCCAACTAAACAACTTCATTAATAGCCGTCCGATCAAGTTTTAACTCTCCAACCAGAAAGATTTATTAACCTTTCCCGCCTAGGGTAGGTCACTTCATTTTCTTAGAAAACGTTGCTCACAAAATTTTCTCTCTTTCCATTTGGTTTTTCCTTTTATTTTTATTTTATTTTAATATCTTTCACTGCACATCCCTTATATCACTCTTTCCACATTCTGTAGACTTGTCCTCTCTTCTCGCTCTCTCTTCCTTCTCTCTGCAAATTAAAGCTTTGCTAATTGTATTCATTAGAGTATTGGTCAGAGCAAAATAAGAACAAAAAATATCAAATTCAAAGCAAAGAAATGGTGAGAGTTCTGTTTCTTTCACTAACTGCTGGTGTCTCTTTATTGAATTGGTTTTTTCTGTCAAACGTAATCTCAAGTTTTGAATGATGGCCATCTCTGATTTTCTTATTGGTGATTGATGTTAATTTGGCTGTCATGTGTCCGTTTGGTTCCCAGGAAAATTTAGATAGAAAACAAAAGAAACACAATCTTTCTGAATCTAGTAATTAGTGCTCAGCCTTGATGTAGTCATGAAAACAGCCTGTATAGCTTCTTGGGTTAGTTTCATTTTGTTGAAACTCTTAACCTTTCTATGAATTCAACAGCTTTACGCTAGGTGTTTGAATTTTGAATCTTGAATGTTGAAGTTTGTTGAATTGTATTGGTTTTGTTGATATCTTTTGTGAATTATACTTCTAAGATGGTATATTTACATTACATGTTGAATCTTGATATTGAATTCATTTGTTGCTCAAATTTTGAATCGGCTTTTGAGTACTAATTCAAGCTGTAAACTTTGATTGAATTGTGAATCAAGAATGCTGAAAAGTTCATTGCTTTGCAAGCTTTTTGTTTTGATATCAGTGGATTGCATTTGTTATCGTAGGTGGGTTGCGGGTTATACATAAAGAAGAAAACGGATTGGCTCTCTACGCTTCTGCAAAGTGAGTTCTTTGGTTCTTGCTCTGATCATCAGGACCTCAGGAAAAGTGAGAAAAACGTGTTCTGCATCGACTGTAGTCTCGAGTTTTGTAGGCATTGTAAGGCTCACGGCCATCATCGGTCGCTTCAGATCTGCAAATATGTCTATCAAGATGTCGTTCGCGTTCAAGAAATGCAGAAGCATCTTGACTGTTCCAAAATTCAGGTTCTTAGCCATGAAACTTTTCATAAATTGATGATCAAATTCAATGCAATTTTCTGCCTTGCTGCTTTGTATGGTATTATGGAAGTGATAAAAGATTGTTTTGGGGTGATCAATAAAAATTAGAATGCACCAAATTGTCATTAATTTCTTCTAATTGTTACTGATATATTGTATTAGATGAATATGAATTTGTAATGAAACATCTTTTTGTTCTGATAGTTAATTTGTCAATGTAGTAGTAGCAGTAGGAATTAAGGAGAGCACACACTGAGATACGAAATCAAAGAGAATAGATTTTCTTATCATTATGTTTGCAGGACAATCCAAATTCGCTTTTCCCTGTTGTTCTATTACTGCATTGGTTGCTTCCAATATTTCCATATCCACAGTTTCAGCTTATAATTACTTCAGTGATTGCTTGATTGCCTTTCACTTTTCTCTTTTGATAAACTTTAGTAGCAAATTGGAATGATCATGGGATTTCCTTTACTGAAATGTTTTTTATCTGACAGACATATAAAATCAATGGTGAAAAAGCTGTCCATCTGAATCCTCGGCCTCAAGCCAAAGATGCCAAACCATCAACAAAATCAAAAACCGGTGCTGCCTGTGAAGCTTGCCGAAGATACCTTCAAGACCCGCCTAATCGCTTTTGCTCCATTGCATGCAAGGTAACTACTTAGATTCCCTTTGGATTTATTTCTAAAACCCCAGTGTTGTGCTTGAAATTTCCCTCTTACGTTGGCTAAATGCTTCAGGTATCAGCTGTTGATGTGAAGCCTAAAGACCAAAGCGATAAACTGGAATTGCCAATACAAGAAATCCCTGATCTTTCCCTGAAGGACAACCAAAATTCAGATATAAGTACAGAAGAAGAAAAGCAATCCTCAATCTCTTCAACAGATGTTTCCGAGGAGACAAAAACATGGGCGAGCACAAGTTTAAAGCCCAGGAAACGAGTGAACAAAAGGAAAGGCATTCCTCATAGAGCTCCTTTCTGTTAATAAATGCAGAAATTTTGGTAGATACTGCAGAAAGGGTACTTAATAAAATTTATAGCTACAACAGTTGATTAAGAATGATACTGTTTCTAATGAAGAAAGTCACTCATCAAAGACTAGTCCTCGTTTTGGAATTTAGTTGGGGTTAGTTGAGAGGGCAGACCCACAATGTCATGAGAGAAGGTGATTTTTTTTTTTATTTGTTCCTTTGAGCAGAATGTACAGCATAAGAGCAAAGAGATAAGATGGTATGGAATTGCAGCAGTGGCTTTTAATCTTTGTATCTACCCCCCCCTTTGACAGATTTGATTGGATTCTATTATGATTTTGTTCTTCTTTCGGTGGAAGTTAATTTTCAATGGTTTGAATAGGATATTCCTTATTACACCCAACAATTTCCCTTCCCCTTTATACTTATAAATCATGTTTTTAATATGATTTGATTACTCTGGGGCCTTCTGCTCTTGATGGGAATGTTTCTAATTGAGTTGGCATGAGTGATCATTTTTTCTCCTCAATTTTTAATTTTTTAGGGGCTTGTCCTGGATCAAGAGCCTTGTCTCAATCTTTGTCGGTTAAGTAATGGTGCTTACTTTCGTCTGATCTTTGGTAACTGTCTACTTTTGGGACCCTCCCCTCCCCTTGCATCATGGCAACAATGTGTTGTTTAATTATTATTATTATTATTTCTCTCTTTTCCATATATATAAGTATCTATATGAATGTGGCAGACAAAAAGAGCCGCCAAAAAAAAAGAAAGGAAAGATCTGTGAGTGAATAGGAGATGGTGAGCATCCCGCGACCAAGCAACAACCAGGTAAAAGTCTCATTTGCACATGGCTTCCCCAAACTTTTTCCCCCATTTTTGCAGGGACTTGTCTGGCACAAGTTCTAAGATCAACCCTATTTCTATGACGATATGAGCAATTCCATTAAAATATCAACTTTATGAGAAAAATATTGGGTTTTTTTTTCCTTTAATTCTTTGAATAAGAGATACATATTATTATTATTATTATTGAGTTGAATGTTAAGTCGTCGACATATACAATTTGACATGGAAATTGCTGGCTGGCAGGAGTGATGGGGATGGATGTTGCAAAGGTGCAAAAATAACGTGGGATTGTCTTATAAAAGGAGGAGGTTGCAAATTGTTTAGAGCATGGATAACAGGGAAATTGAAAGGGAAAGAAGGTATTTGCAGTTGTCTTTACTAGGCGTGAATGCATCTTTTGGTATTCTAATATATGGCTTTTGGACTTTCTTGTTCTTAGCCTTTTTAAATATAGGTTCACTTTGTAGTTAGTCTGCCCTTCATTCAAGGGTATGTCTTCAAAAGAGCTGCCCTTCCCCCATCATAATGGGCGCCATGCTTAACATGTTTTAGCTTGCCACTTGGCTTCTATTTTCCTTTGTAGAATGAAAAGGTTGGCTAGAGACTCGTGAGAAATCAAAAGAAGAAGAAATCCCACCCTTATTTATTATTTATTATTTTTATATTACGATATATTTCAAAATTATATTGTCGCAATCTTAAAAAGACTATTCTAATGATCAAAATTTTCGAATTTTACATTTGAATTTTGTGAAAATAATTATTGGAGTTACGTTTAAAAAATAATCAAAATTCTAAAATAATCTTCACATGTATAAAAGAAATTTAAAAAAAAAGGTTATTTAGGTGTGTATAAGCACACTAATGTTGACTGAAAAGAGTGTTTGATTTGTGGAGCAAGTCAAGTACATAGTTGTAGTAGAATTAATGATCTCAATTACCTTTTGTTATACTAAACCAATTATTAGTATTAAATCCATAAAAAAAAAAAAAACACAAGTGTTTTGGGTTATTGCGTATGATATAATGAGTAATTATATGGCTATTTAGGCTTACCATGTTTGGGTGAAACAAGTCTAACTGGAGACAATGGCAAGGGGACTCAACGTACAAGCTTCATATTGAGAATCAAAGGTCAACTATTTTCCTTAAAACCTTGGACCCCTACTCCCTAGGCAAATGTCACTAGGGAGTGAGATACTATATAACCTAGCAATGGGACAATATGGTACGAGGTTATACCCTTCACTACTATATAGGAACCTTTGTTTATAGGAAGTGCTTCAATACTATATATATATATATATATGTATAATATTTCATTTATTTTTGGATTGATTCATAGATTAAACATTAGAGTTTATTTGTTCTTCGTTTTAGGATAAAAATAAAATTATTAGCTCAAACCTTTCATTCCTTTTTTTGTTATTCTAACATGATGTTTTAAAATGTGCCCAAACTATTAAAAAAATTTTAAATAAATTTTTATTTTTCTATTATATTCAATCAAGTCTTGTATTTTTATTTTGGATCATAATTGTCCATAGTCTTTTTTTTTTTGAAAATTGATTGTTATTAATATATTTTTATTTAGAATAATTATTCTTAGTTAAAACATCTTTTATTATTTTTTATGTCATGTGATGTTGATGTGGTGCTCACGTGAAAAGTTAAAATGTTATATAACATTTCATTATGTCATATCAACATACTACGTTATTATTGATTATGACATGTTGACA